TTTGATCACTAATTATAATGTTTAGTTATAACTTTGCAATCAAAGTTGTTGGTTTTTATCAAATATGTATATGAATTAATACCATTTTTATTTTTATTTTTTATATAATAATACATAAAAGTTGATCTAGATTCGTTATATATTTATAATAAAGTCGTAAAAATATATAAAAAATTCGCTTTGAAGTTTTAAAAAACCAGTTTATTTAGATTTCAGTTTATTTTAATAGCCCGCAGATGTTAAAAAAACAAACACTTCTTTTTTCAGACTGCAGACGTTTGGTCCACCTCTTCTACTGCAGAGGTCTACAGATGTGGTCCGCAGACTGCAGACATTTTGCCTCAGAAAAAACAAACAACACCTAAAGCTTCCCCTTTAATTTAGGAAAGTAAGCAACAAGTTTATTACAAGAGTAAATGAATTTGTAGGTGTTGTCACTATCCTCATGTAGACAATGTAAGTTGAACCAATTTCTTTGCACCTTTTCCAAGCACAATTTAAAGTCCAATGTAGTTCAAAGTTGGTCGATTGAGTCAATCACCACCATAATCGAAGTAACTTTTTCTTTTCTTTTTCTTTTTCTTTTCAAAATATATTGATGTAACCATTAACAAGATTACAAGAGCACACAGGTTGTAAGTGAGTTGGACTTGGAAAAAATGTCTATCAATTTCAGATAAGAGATTAATAATGCTTCCCCACCATTTAAAAAATGGCATTCCACTCATAATGATGAATGTATCTACGTTGACAACCAAAAGTTCCTTACGTGGTTGTTTGAATATATTTTCTTTAAACTTTAACGATGTGCTTGTCAAATTTTCAAAATACACTTGTTTGTTTTTAGGGCCATGGACAAAAATATACGATGACATTATATCATAAGAGATAAGTTAAGTATCTTTTAAACATTTGTTATAAAATTATCATATATTAACTTACATTTTATGTGTTTGTAAATTAGATCAAATAGACACACAAGGAGACTGACAATTAATATGAAAAATTATATGTTGATTAGTTACTAAATAATAAATCCAAATTATTATTAATAATAACCAAGTTTCATCAGCAAATCAGATTGGTCATTCATGATAAGATCTTATTATAATAAAGGTAGAAGGAAGCCTGTCTCGTTGTTGAGTGAATTAAAATTGTTAGGAAACTATAACAAGTAATTGCACGAAAGAACAGAGAATATAAGTGTTGTTGCTCGTTGTTGAGTGAATTAAAATTGTTAGGAAACTATAACAAGTAATTGCACGAAAGAACAGAGAATATAAGTGTTGTTGCGTCCCGTGTTTAACACAATGTCTTTAAAATAAATTTGTCATATATGAATGTTTGTTTCCTAAGATACGACAGCGGAAAACTATTCTTCAAGATCGTCCGAACCCTCAGAATGCTTGAAATATACATTAGTTGTAGATAGGGATGAGCGTAGGCGGGTACGCGCCTCATTTGGCGAGAACCGGAACCGGAACCGGCGGTTCCTAGAAAGTTAGAACCGGAACCGGAACCGCTCTAAGAAGTTCTTAAATATTTGGAACCAGTCTCGGAACCGGCTCCGATGCTCATCCCTAGTTGTAGAAGTAGGAAGAAGCAAAAGTAGAATTGGAAGAAAGAAAGAGACGACTCGATCGTCTGGTGCAACCCAATCAGTGAAAGAGATGCAATATTTATACTGCAAAACGTAACTGATATGATTAATTCAAAAACGTAATTGTCAAGAATTAAATGACCCAACTAATTAAGAAATCTGTCTTTCATGGATTTTAATTTCGGGTTTATAACTAATACAATTTCAGTCACGAAAAGAAAATAGTTGTAAAAAAGGTCCAATACAATTTCAGTCACGAAAAGAAAATAGTTGTAAAAAAGGTCCTTGAACTTTTCTGATATAACAAATTAGTGAAAGAGATGCAATATACATACCGTAAAACTTTACATAACTTATATGATTAAATCGAAATCGTAACTGTCAAGAATTAAATGACCCAATTAATCAAGAAATCTGTCATTAATGACTTTTAATTTCGGGTTTATAACTGATATGATTAATTCAAAATCGTAAATAATTTTTATTTTTTTAACGGGGATTAGTTATTTAACATTAAATTCACCAAGTTAGTAAATAATTAAATGGCCCAATTTTCTTTTTTTTAACGGTCGATTAGTTGTTTAATATTAAATTCACCAAGTTAGTAAATTCGTTTATGCGTAGGTTTGAATCCAAGACCTTCTCTCTAAGAGGTTTCCACCTCTATCAAGTGGACTAGTCCCACATTGGCATTAATGACCCAATTAATCATGAAATATGTCATTCATGGCTTTTATATTCGGGTTTATAACTGATACGGTTTCGGTCAGGAAAAGAAAATAGTTGCAAAAAAGGTCCTTGAACTTTTCTGATGTAACCCAATCAGTGAAAGAAAAGCAATATTTATACTGCAAAACGTAACTTATATGATTAATTTGGAATCGTATTAGTCAAGAATTAAATGGCCCATATAATCAAGAAATATGTCATTAATAGCTTATAATTTCGGGTTTATAACTGATACCGTTTCAGTCTGGAAAAGAAAATAGCTGCAAAAAAGGGTTCTTGAACTTTTCTGATGTAACCCGATCAGTGAAAGCGATGCAATATTTATACTGCAAAACATAACTGATATGATATATTCCAAATTGTAACCGTCAAGAATTAAATGGCCCAATTAATCAAGAAATATGTCATTAATAACTTTCAATTTTAAGTTTATAACTGATACAGTTTCAGTCCAGAAAAGAAACTAGTTGCAAAAAAGGTCCTTAAACGTTTCCAGTCGATTGGTGGTGCATTCGTACCCACAAGACGCACGCTCGCATACAAGTTTAGTGAGCTCAAGTCAAAATGCCTCTAGAAAGTTGTATTTATGATAGCAAAAACCCTAAAAGGCAACAAAAAATATGGATATGTGACAATGACAACCCTATAACAACTCGCCATGCGTCACGTGAATTCGATCCTTATCTACACTTGTTGCTCTCAAGCAACTCAGTTTTGGATGCTTTTAGAACGTTCCACAACTTTATCCACAAAATCAAACACGTGGTCAACGTTGATCGGGAGTTGAAGCTTTCTAGTTATTGACGTCAGTTGCGAGGTGAGTTCTCCTAAATATATCAACATGGTCTAAGGAACCAATGTTCACTACTAGAAAACTGCTCTTTAATGACGTGCAAACAATGACACTCGCTGATAGAGGACGCACATTAGTGTGCGCCTTGAAAAATAATATTAGTTTTGCAAAATTTGAAGGATAAAAGACACGCATTTGTGCGTGCCTTAAAATTAGTGTTAGAAAAGAAAAAAAAAAGAAATGCGGAGGGCACCTTTGTCTAAATATGTCGCTTTATAACATTTTAATGAAACGTGCATTTTAAAGGCGGGATTTCACCCGCCTATTAAATCCCAAAAATTAAATCCCCCCCCCCCCCCCCCGCCCCGCCTCTTCCAGTCAGCAAGAAAAAGCCCTAGGTGTTCGTCTTCATGGCTGCCGCTTAAGAGAATGGTACCGTTGATATCTGTACTGAAGCTGTGGTTGTCGATGATGACGTCAAGTTCAGATTCCAAAGGAAGGAGATGTACACCGAGAATCTCTCCGGAAGCTGTCGATGATATCTCTACTGAAGCATGGTGTTAGCAATCTTTTACATCAACCAATATTCTGAGTCCATGTTTATATTGTTGATGTTCTTTTCACTAAAATTCTATTGAAAATGGTTCATGATACCTATTCATGTCTATCTTGTAGATATGGAAGATCTGAAGCAGTTCAACATGAAAATCGCTGGTTCATATTTCAGTCATTCATATAAATCCCCGATGATTCAATTTGATTTTAAAACCTACCTACATCAGCATCCTGGAAAAACCCTAGCACATCATCCCTAAAACGCCAAATAGAAAAACCCAAATTTAAAATCCCTAAATGATTCAGATGATGATGATGAGAACTTGGATGAAGTCGCACCTTCTTCACCTTCCGGTTTGATTTCATTGGATTGTTGATTCAAAGTTTTAGGTAAATTTTCTTGATATTTTTATCCTCAGGCCTCTTCAACTATCTTTAATCTCAATGTCTTCAATCGATCGTTTTTTCTTCCATCACCACCGCCCCTCTTCTTCTTTATTCGATTCCCAGGATTGATTCATGAAATCAATTTTATAAAATATATTTAAAAAATTGAGATAAAGCACAACGCTTTTGATATCATATCTTTGGGAAAATGCAGGTAACGAAGAAGAAATTGAGATAAAGCACAAACATCAAATGCTGCCCTGCATCTTCCCCACGTAAAGAAATACATGAGAAGCGAATCATATGCAGGTAATGAAAAAATGGTCTCATAGACTTGATAAAACTTAACTTAATCAACTATTTTTGCTTTCCCTCCTGTGTTTATGATACTTAAAACTTTCGGTGATATAATGATGGGGTAAATGAAAATAAGTAAATAAATGCAATAAGTTGTCAATATGCCCTAAATTGTTGAATCTTTATAATAAAAAAAGTCATTAAAGATTGTCTAAGTGGTAAAAAAATCTTTTTCGCTTGTTTTTAAATCTTAGGATGTCCCAACTGGTGAGCTACCAAGGAACATGTTTTTATCCGTAGACAGACAACTTGTACAAACAATTGTGCCTGGTACAAGATTGACTATAATGGGATTTTACAGCATATTTCAAGTTTCAAAGACATCCACATCGTAATACTTTCACTTAATCTATTCACCAATAACATTTAACTTTCATACATTTTGAATATAGCTAAATCTGCAATCTTTTTTCTGTTTTGATCTAGTCACAAAGGAGTAGTTGCTATTAGACAACCGTATATAAGAGTTTTTGGAATAGAAGAAACAAATGAAGCTACAATTTAGGTGTTCAAATACATTGCATACTTGTTGCTGCAAGTAATCCTTATCCACTTCCAACACTAGTTTATCAACCCCCAATGCAAAAAATAGAACCAACTGATAACAATGAAGCACAATCAGAAAGTCGTTTATCAGATGCTGAAACTATAGCTAAAGCATTTGCTCAGGTATTAAACTATTAATAAATAAATTTATACATAGATATCTAATTAATGTTAAATGTTTTTTCACCTATATGAATTTTTCGTAGTAGTGTTCCGTTTCTTTATCAGTTATATGCCCGAAACAGCTTCCGAAACTCAAAGCATTCTATAATGCGGTAATTAATGATTACATTTTATTTTTTTTAGTAAGTTTCTTATTTTATTATATAATATATTCCTTAAATTAATAATTGTATTTGATTTTATATGGAAAAAGGAACCCTTCAGCAGCTGATCCTACAATTGTTATTGTGAAAAATCCACATTATCTTTTACTCATTTCAGAAACATTCATGGAGGCTCGTGCTGCTTTATGTCGATCAGGAATTACAAATTTGCCCTCTCAAAGTCCTATAAAAGTAGATGAACCTTCAATTCCTCCTGTTTCAGCCCCCCTCCATCTTCAATTCCACCAGGTTTTGTTTCAAATTCATGTTTATATCATTTCATTTTAGTTAATATAAACATTTTGTATTTTTTTATATACAGCAAATGGGCCTATGATGAATAGACAACCAGTTCCTGTAGGAAACATTCCTCCTACAACCGTGAAAGTTGTAAGTCTCATTGAAAACCTTTTATTTTTTCAGAAAACAGAAAAGGGTATTTTGTTGATTTTTGAAAAATTTCAGGAGCCAACAATCGTTACTTCAATGCCACCTGTAACGGTGCCTATACTTGCACCATCATTCCAACATGTGCCACCTGTCCCACGTCCTACACCACCCATGCAAATGTCATCACCATTATCAGTTTCACAAGATATGTTATCAAGTAATGATGGAATCCAAGATATGTGAGTGATGTACAGCCACCTATGCGTCCAGCTGTCACTGTAAATCACAACATTCTCAACAACCTATCACAAGCAAGGATCATCAACCAAGCAGCAATTGCTGGAGGAACATCCATGGGAATACCAAATCTCATGGCTGTGCGTATGTCCAACATGATATCAAGTGGAAGGGCATCCACAATTCTGGTTGCCCAAATCTTAATCTCATTTGGGCAATCAGTGATTCCATCAATGACAATGTCAACTACATCAACTGTACCTGGTTCTTTTGCTTCGGCAGCTAATGTTGGTCTCACCCAACAATCAACTGGTGCATTACAATCAGCACAGTCAAAATATGTCAAAGTCTGGGAGGTATAAATATAAATATAATAACAAATATTCACATTTGGAGCATTATTTTTATAAATTTATGATTAATCATTTATTTGGAAATTGGAATAATATAAGTGTGAGATAAATGATGCAGGGAAATTTATCCGGTCAGAGACAAGGTCAGCCTGTATTTATTACAAGATTAGAATTAAGTTTAAATATATTATTTAATTTAATTTTGATTTGTAAAAAAATGGTAGGGGTACCGGAGTGCATCGGCTTCTGAATCGTAAGTCACCCATGACATGACATCACATAGTATTTAAGCAAAATGTTTGACTCTGATTATTACTGAAATACCTAAAATACCCTTCTCTCTTAGGCTTGCAGCAAATTGGCCACCAACAATGCAAATAGTGCGACTTACATGTCAAGATCACATGAACAAAAAGTAAGCTTTACCAATTTTTTTTTTTGTCATATATTGTTTCCCTCTTCAGTTTTCCTTTAAATATTTATTTATTTAAATTTAAATTCCAGGTATTATGTGGGAAAAGCAGATTTCCTAGTTTTTCAGGCAATTAATCAGTTGCCTTCACAAACACTTCTACTCTGACTAATTGGAATGCTTTACAACAGGAAGTTTTTAATTACAAAATAGTTGCATGTCCTGATAGACATAGAAAATTTGAAAATGAACTTGCCTCTACAATGGATGTTGCTCTTGGGATTTTGATTGCATGTTTTAATATTCCAGAATTAAAAGAACAGGTGACTTTTTTCCTTTTTCTTTTTCTTTTTAGCAATAAGAAATTAGTATTAGTAGTTAGAATCTGCAAGGGGTAAATAAAGTCAATTTAGTTAGAATTAGTGAATACATTGTATTAGTCATTAATCATGTTTGTGTGCTTTTTTTGTTGGGCAGGATCATCGGGCAGGACATTTAGGCATAATTATAATATAAAACTATAAAAAAAAATCATTTTTTGATATATATTTTTTGTTTTGTTTTGCAGAGGATACTAAAGAGCAAAGTGATAGTGATGCCCTTGAGATAATCCACAGTACACAACCATTTATGTAGGCAACCTTAGCCCTGAAGAAATACTTTTTCTACAAATGTTACTTAAGGTAGTGGAGGGCCTTTATGTAATGTGATGGATCAACCTCTTTTGAAGTTTCATTTACATCTAGTTTTATTCTTCTGACATGCTTTTTGTATTTGGTTTAACAGCTAAGGATCATAATCAAACCCACGCCTTGTGTTGGTGTAGGGCCTTTATGTAATGCACAACAGGTTTCCATGATGGCATGAAAGTGGTATTAAGTATTAGCATTCTTATTATATTATACCCCTCACATTTTCCCAAATTACCCCTTGCTCTACAATGTTTTTTTTTGTTTCTATGTATTTTGTGCATCAGTTAAAGTTGATGGAAGAAAGGAATATGAAGCCACTTGATTTAAATCTTGCAGCATTATCAGCAAGAGACTTGGAGTTGAATTTGGCTAAGTCATTATTGAGTGAGATGGGCCAATATACAACTGTTTATCCATATAATCAGCTGTTTGGAGCATTAGTTTTAAAGAATTATGAAGGCAAGATGCAACTTTACTTAGTTGGAATTTGATGTACATAGTAGATTAGATACAAATTTATATATTGTAAGAAATAGATTTGTATGACATTGAATTTATGCAACGGATTCTAATTTTTGTATATGATATTTTATTTTCTATTATGAAACATTAAATACAAATTTAATTTGAAAATAAGTAAATCTATAAAGAATCTTTTTTTAAAACATTTAAAATTATGATATGCAAAAATATGTGTCATCTTCATTTATGACATGGCCTTTCTTGATAGGGGTTTCTTGATATGCATTGCGTGTCATTAACACGCACATCGTAAGGTTACGACACGCGAATGCGTGTCGTCTTCCTTTATGACAGGGCCTTCCTTGATATGCATTGTGTGTCGTAAACGCGCGTCGTAAATGCACATCGTCTATTCGTCTATCATCATTCATGTTATTTTGTATTTCTTGTTATGTTATGAGTGTGGTTTATGAGGTTGGTATTATGGGGGAATTCACTAAACTCTCGGGCTTACAGTTTCAGTTTATTGTTTCAGGTACATCAAGGGATCGCGGCAAGGCGAAGGCGTGATCGTACAGCTCTTCATGTTTTATCAATGTCTCTGGGAAAAACTTTGATATTATACATTTGAAAACAAAGTTGTAATGATTTTTAATGGTTTGAAATGTTTTAAAAATTTTAAATTGGTTTCACGACTTCTCGAGTTCAGGAAGGACTCGACGAGCTGGTGAACTGCACTCGACGAGTCGAGTCAACATGAACTGTTGACTTTGACTGTGGGAGTTGACTTTGACCATAAGTTGACCAGTTGACTTATGATGGTATTCAGATAATTTGGAGACTTATGAAAAAGGGTTTTATGGTATTTATAGGTAGTGAAGTTTGTGTTGGTGATCTGGGAGTTGAAGCTTTCTAGTTTCTGACGTCAGTTGCGAGGTGAGTTCTCCTCACTATATCAACAGGTTCCAAGGCACCAATGCCGACCTTTATTGGATTGGTATCTGGGTTTATTGCATATTATGCTTATTGATTTACATCCTGGTAGTTAGGATGGTTATATGCTTAGTGACCTGGTTAGGTCGATATCCTCGTTATAGGATATTGCTATACTATTTGATCTGTTAGATCGGTTGACTGTTATATATGCTAGTGTATGATATGTATGTGTACATGTTTGTTGATTGGGGGTTGGGTTGAGGCGGTCCTGCTTTGTGCTGAAGGACAACATACCTAGGGCGGTCCGGATAGACTACAGACTCCGAAGGGTATGTTAGTCAGACCGAAGGCCCAACGAGCGGTTCGGATAGGCTAAAGGCCCGGCGAAGCGGTCCAGACGTGCCGAAGGCTCGGAGAGTTGTCCAGATAGATTGAAGGCCTGTGAGGCGGTCCAGTCAGGCTAAAGGCTCATTATGCATGCTTTTTTGTATTTGCTATTATGTTATGAGTATGGTTTTATGAGGTTAGTATTTTGGGGGAATTCACTAAGCTCTCGGGCTTATAGTTTCCGTTTATTATTTCAGGTACATCAGAGGATCGTGGCAAGGCGAAGGCGAAGGCGTGATCGTACAGCTCTGAATGTTTTATCTATGTCTTTGGGAAAAACTATGATATTATACATTTGAAAACAAAGTTGTAATGATTTTTAATGGTTTGAAATGTTTTAAAAATTTTAAATCGGTTTAAATTTTTGGGTGTCACATATGGACTTAGACACTAATCCAACAATTATCCATTCCCGTTATCCTCACTTTACGTCCCTAAAACACCTATCATAAGGGACCTAGCCTAAGGATCATCATCGGGATAGACACTACTACTAAGCGGGTTCCTCAACAATAAATGTCCATAAGGCAACCATGAAGGGGATGGAGTACACAGGTGAACACATCGTTCACAAACACCTACAGATTGTGAGTCTGCTAGCGTTCCACTGAACTATCTAGAATAGTCTTTGGTCATCATCTATACTCCGCTAGATGACTGGGTCATTGTAAACATCGAGACCTCTCATCATTTTATCGCATATCGTCTATTTCATCTACCCATGTTTTACCCCAACATTTTTGTATATATAAAATACATCTACAATTTAAATCATTTAAAACTTGTATAAAAATGTTCATCCAGCATAGATATCAAGTAAATAGATAATATGCATACATAGCATGTAATTTATATGAAATACTTCATATCTATGTGTAAGATGAAAGTAACTATGCACTCACTTGTTAAAGTGATGATTCCAAGCTCGGGCAGCGCTTCGCTTTTAACAATATAATTTATTCGATGAAACCTAGTATTATTACCACTAGATTTTATTCTAATATTTACCGTGACTAATTATTAGTCTTAGCATTATTATTATATATGCGTTTAAACAATATTTTCCACCACTATGTATATACAGGGACCAGACATAAAACATCGGAAGGCAGGATCATTTTGTCATATAGCACTTCTGATATCTACCAACCCTATGTGGCCTATTAAACCAGATTCCCCGTACCGTGAGTAGTTAAAAAGATATTATAACGACACTTATACAAGTCATAATAATAGTCCAAATATTTATTATAAGTTCATAATAACAATACTAATTTCAAATATAAGTTATATTTAAAATAGGGTAAGCATAACTTACTTACAAGAGAGTTTTAGCTAGGAGTCGGGCTCTGCAGGGGTAGGAATTCGTCGCTAAATCTTCTAAGAAAGAGTCTTGCAATGCTTCAGCGGTCACCTTACTACACTAAAAACTACAAAAAGAGAAGTCGAATCACAAGGGACCGAAATGCTCGGGAGATAAGAAGAGAAAAACTCTTGAAGCAAGAGAATGGTGCAAGAAATATCAGAGGCTAGAGGCTCGTATTTAACGTAATTGAATTTTCAAAAACTACCCTCTATATTTACTTAAATGACTAAACACCCCTTTATAATACAATTTTAAATAGATTTAATGATATTTGTACTAAACTAATGTTGAAAGTACTCAACACTAGTCTTATAACGACCGCATCGTCAATACCTTTCTAATGATATATACATATGTATATATATATATATATATATATATATATATATATATATATATACGTATATATAATTTATACTTTATTTTAATACGTAAATGTGCTATTAAAAATTATAACTAATTCATACAAATTCCGTTTCTGATGTTCTTTATATCCACGCATAGCTATCGACGAGATCTATAACTTTCGTTTAGACTCCGTCGGCTAGTTTTGAATTTATTTTTTTGTCCCTATTTTTATAAAATTAAATGATTTTGCTAAAATCATAACTCTCTCTCATACGGAATCCGTTTTTGACATTGTTTTTCGCAATATTCATATTTTAAGGAGTACTACGATTTTCATTTTGGTCGCATTAGCTAAAAGTCAACAATTTTCTTCGTAGCTTTTTACGTCACACAATCCTTGTGCACGAGTGACTTTTATATTTTATAAAAATAATATCTAATTCATAAGGAGTCGGATTTCTACAAAATGTATATTTTCAGGATCGGGAAGACGTGTACTTTCTAAATATTTAATATATATATATATATATATATATATATATATATATGTTTTGGCGCACTTATTTTTACGATTTATGGAAGATTCAGTTGATTTTTCCTATTTTATTATATTATAATAATCATGAAACACATAATATTCATATAATTCTTCTTTATTACGTCAAATAGGTTATAATTATTGACCGTAACCATTACATCATCATATTAATGTTTATCCTAGAAACACGGGCGTTATAATTCTCTCCCCCTTCAGATGATTCCATCCCGGAATCACGCATCAGAAAACAAATGTGGATAGTGACTCATCATGTCACTCTCTATTTCCGAAGTGTGGTTCGGCCCATTCGTATGTTTCCATCGCACAAACACTAAGTCGATCATCTTGAGTCGTAACTTTTTTGTCTTACAGTTAACAATTGCCTCAGGCTCTTCGATTAGCCTCTTAGTTTGATCCATCCTTAAATCTGAAATAGGAATTATGTCGGGAACTTCAACCGTGAACTTCCTCAAATAACACACATGAAAAGTGTTATGAATACCATCTAGTTCTTCTAGTAATTTGAGCTTGTAATCTTGGTTCCCAATCCTCTAAAGAGCTTTGAATGGTCCAATAAACCTTGGACTTAGCTTTCCTCTCTTTCTGAATGTTATAAGTCCCTTCCAAGGTGAGACTTTAAGCAAATCTGAATCTCCAACTTTGAATGTAATCGACCGTCTCTTTTTGTCAGCATATCTCTTTTGATGATCCTGAGATGCTAACGTCCTTTCCCTGATCACCTTTAGCTTTTTAGTAGTCTGATAGACTATCTCGGGGCCCACAAACTGCTTTTCTCCAACCTAAAGCCAACAGGATGGCATACGAAACTTCTGTCTGTACAAGGCTTGATAAGGTGCCATTTTAACGCTCGAGTGGAAATTGTTATTATAGGAAAACTCTACCAAAGGTAAGTGCTCATCCCAGTTACCTTGGAATTCCAAGGTACATGCTCTTAGCATATTATCCAGTGTTTGAATCGTTCTTTCGCTCTGACTATCAGTCTGCGGATGGTAAGTTGTACTCAAACACAACTTCTTACCCAATTCCTTTTGTAGACTTCTCCAAAACCTTGACGTGAAACGACTATCATGATCTAATACTATCATTAAAGGAACACCGTGAAGTCTTACCACTTCCTTCACGTAAACATTTGTAAGTTTATCCATAGATCATTTCTCATTGGCTGCTATGAAGTATGCACTCTTAGTGAAACGATCCACAACTACCTAAATCATGTCGTGATTGTTCTTCATCATGGGTAGTTTAGTCACAAAATCTGTGGTGATGTCTTCCCATTTACCCATGGGTACGGATAAAGGTTCTAAACTCTCATACGGTTTCTGATGTTGTGCCTTAACTCTTGCACAAGTTACACACCCGACCACATACTTTGAAACATCGAGCTTCATCGTCGACCACCAGTAGTAGCTTTTTAGGTCTCTATGATTTTTTGT